AAGTTTCTTATTTACGTAACCTTTCGGAATGATTCCAAACTTTTGAAAAAGTTATAGAAACCCGTGAAAAAGTTTAGGATTTTGCCCTCTTGAATTAAATTTAAAGCCGGCAATGTTTTTATAATTAAATGTTGACGGTTGTCATGGTAATTCAGCGGTTTTTGAGCGTGCACATGCTCGTGGGCTTAGAAGTCAATTCTTCAAATATATTTACCAATGATAGTCTTTTCATCACTTTCCATTTGTACATCATATAGCTGTGTCCTCAGAGCCATAAGTTCCTTCTCTTGACCCTCTTGATGTGCCCTAACAGCCTCAGCTTGGTGTGCTGCTACTTCTGCTATCTCCTTTAGRCGGGATACCTCTATTTTAAGGCTGGCTTCAGATTCTTCACAGGATTGTAGTCTCTTGACGACGGACTCGTGCATGTTACGAGTAACCGCGCCTGGGCGACGACAACAAACGAAAAATAAACAAACGAAGAATATATTTTCTATCAAAGAACTTTATCAGTAGTTGCACATTCACCCCACATGGAATTCGTGCCACATAAAATCAGCGCTACAAGCATGAAGAAATAACGCCTATCGAGACAAGTAAGACTTAATTATAGAGCAACGTGCTTCGAATGAAGTGTATTGATTATTGAACAGCGTAAGTCGAGTAACGGGTGCAGAAAGCGGATCAGGGGGGTTGTGGGTGTAAATATTAAGAATAAATAAGATAACATCTAAAGGCCGATTTTTAAGGTACGATTTTCGCCTACAACTATCGTATACAACACGCTCGCGACATCGCTGTGCATCGCGGAGTAGCATCTATTACCTTCGAGTTCTTCTCGTAAATGTCGTTCAATCCTTTGGGCCTCAAAGTTTAGCTTTCCAATCTGAACATTTTCCATAAAAGAAAAAAAAATCAAAAGTTAAGGAAACGTTTTTGAAACTTAACCATATTGGGTATGAAGATGATCATGTATACTCACTTCACCAAACTTTTGTTCAAGTTCTGCGTTCCTTTGCTCTAGTTCATCAAATACTTTCTTTAGCTGWGTGTATTTGCGTGTTGAATGGTCAGCTCTTTCACGCTCATTCAGCTCCTGAAAATCAGTTATAGTTTAAAACAATTGATTGCAAACTCAATAAAAATTTTCCCTAAAAAACTGGGTGATGAGAAACAAGAATGACGTAGTTGTAGTGTATCATCAGAAATATATCGTATTGTTTTGCTTTGCTTTGCTTTGCTTCGTTTCGTTTCATTTCGTTGTTTTGTTTCGTTTCGTTTCGTTTCGTTTTGTTTTGTTTTTCTTACCTTCATTTCAAGAGTGGCCAGTTTTCTTGATATTCTGTTGATTTCTTCTTTACGCGCAGGGCTGCTGTCACCGACTGATTTATCATCTAGGCAAGTTAACAAAAGATATAAAGACAACGAGAAAATGTTGTTTGCTTTGTTTCTTTTGTATCTTCTCATTATTTGTCGTTGGTTTTGTTAATGTGGCTGCTGTCGCAGTTGCTGCCGCTGTTGTTGCTGTTGCTGTTGCCTGTTGCTGTATTGTTGCTGCTGTTGCTGCTGTTGTTATTGCTGCTGTTGCTGTTGTCTGTTGCCGCTGTTGCATTTCAGTGCTATCTTTTCTGTTGATTTTCAATTGTTTTGATGCATGTTTTTGTATTCTTCTGTGACTCTTTCCGTACACCTTGCTTGTTCTATCATTTCCATTGCTCCTGTGTGTTTTTATTATTTTTTAGTATAATATACGTACCTTTAGCGATCAGCTCGTTTAACATTTGCTCCATGCTGTAATTCTTCTCCTTCAGTGACGTCATGTCTTTTTTCAGTTCTGTCTCGCGATCCTGAAGGACCTTGACCTCGGCCTGTTAGACACAACCAAGTCAGTGATTAATGGAAACTGAAGGTGATATGATGATGATGGTGATGATAATGGTGGTGATGATGATGTTAATGTTGGTGGTAGTGGTGGTGGTGATGATGATGATGCTGATGATGATGATAATAATGGTGGTGGTGGTGGTGATGGTGATGATAATGGTGGTGATGATGATGTTAATGTTGGTGGTGGTGGTGATGATGATGATGATGGTGATAATAATGGTGGTGGTGGTGGTGGTGGTGATGATGATGGTGATGATAATGGTGGTGATGATGATGTTAATGTTGGTGGTGGTGGTGGTGGTGGTGTGATGATGATGATGCTTATGATGATGATGGTGATAATAATGGTGGTGGTGGTGGTGATGGTGATGATAATGGTGGTGATGATGATGTTAATGTTGGTGGTGGTGGTGGTGGTGGTGGTGGTGGTGATGATGATGATGATGGTGGTGATGATGATAATGATGATGGTGATGATGATGATGCTGATGATGATGGTGGTGATGATGGTGGTGATGATGATGATGATGGTGATGATAATGGTGGTGGTGGTGGTGGTGGTGGTGGTGGTGATGATGATGATGATGATGGTGGTGATGATGATAATGATGATGGTGGTGATGATGATGATGCTGATGATGATGGTGGTGATGATGGTGGTGATGATGATGATGATGCTGATGATGATGGTGTTGATGATGATAATGATGATGGTGGTGATGATGATGATGATGGTAATTATGGTGGTGATGATGATTTGATGATGGTGATAAGGAAGATGGAGCTTTAAAATAGCGTAGCTCCACAAAATCTCGCCGCACTTTACAGTGTATATAAAAAACATTTATGAAATAATTGTTATGAATCTCGAGTTTTTATTAGCTGCCCAGCACGCGCGCTTACTTTCTATTTCGTCATTCGTATCCAAAATGACTGCTATTCTAATATGTACTTTATAAATGAAATGTACAACTTGCTTGGTGTTTGTGAGGTTGTGAAGCAATTGGTGATTGACAGATCACTCGAGATGAATTGAGAAGCACTATTCGATATATATGTAAATAATGAGAAATTAAAATGTGAACAAAGTAAATACATACCTCGAGCGTTTCCACGATAGCAGAACGCGAGACGAGAGTGTTTTCTCTCTGCAACAAATCTCTGTACTTGGCTGTCAATTCATTGTATTGTTTGTTAGCGTTTTCTAAGTCTTTGCCTGACACGCTGTCATCCAARGCTTGCTGGAGTGCATGGATCTTGTAGGT